AACATTAGTTTCGGATTTGTATTTCTACATTTGTTCTCACTAAACTTAATTTGAAGATACATTCGCTTTTTAGAGAGCTCATTTCTTGGTACTTAGCTCGATAATTATCATGTATTTCTCGGTCCTGAAAATCGTGCGAACTTTACCAATCGAGGATGATTCTCGAGAAACTGGCGTTGTCCTTGATCACTGAATGTATTCAAATGTTCGTTGTTGTGTAGCAGACCCCGAGAAAGATTCATAGAGTATTCCTGGGGATAGTAAAAGTTTCATCCCAGATGGATTACCCGAGAAATATATATTTTCGTCGTATACCGGCTGGTCCACCTGTTGAAGCCGTTCTAATGCTGCATTGCCGCGGCGAGTCTGTGCTTCGGTGTTAACATTGCTTCATCGGGGCTACAGCGACGTTGTGTGGCGTATAAATGATTATGGTTCCTGCGACGGTCTTTTTCAGGCATTAAACGCAACAGCTCTAATCCACGAGTTTCGTGATTGTTCTCGAGAAGGATTAAAATGGCGTCCAAACCACCCCGTGATATCAGGATGACTATCAAGGGAAAACGCTAAACTTACTGTATAAGCAAAACCAGATAAGTCAACGTCGGGTAACGGACCATTGATGGCAACTCTTACTATATCGTGCGTGGGATGTCCAAACCGGGTAAAATATAGGGCTGGCATTCACCTTGTTCAAGAAAACTTGTGGAATGACGCACGACCATATCAACGCTGACTACGCCATCTACGTTATAATCGGTATTCCATAGACCACAATGAACAGGTTCTACACAGAGTCGTTGAATGTAATTCAAGAAAGATTTCGGGGCAGGTCTCCAGTTATTTCATTTATTTTTCGAGCTATTGTTGCCACAACGGATGGTGACCTACAAGAGTTCTCAGCGGTGTTCTTCGTTATATGATAACATATTGCTTGCCCGTGAAAGTAAATTCGTTCTGAATGCGATTTTGTCTGAAACATTTCCCCGAATGAAGCAAAACATTGGGTATTTTTTCCCTCTAAGTAATCGCTGTCGAGTATTCAAACTGACAGTGGATTGTCCGCATTAAAAAGTTTTAACTCGTGGTAATCATTGCCGTCTAAGTAACTAATGGTACTCACACCAGGAAATTTTAACGTATAATTCCAAGCATATCCGTTATGTCAGATTTCGTCATCGGTGTGGATAGATTTCACCGGTGATAATTTTGATGATGACTGGACTATTGAGTATACTTTCTAAGTTATCACCATCTTCCACAAATAGCACCTCGTTGTCTAACGTTAGCTTTTCCACGCTATAATTTTATTTCATGAATATTGTGTGAGACCATCTCTATGCTATGCATTGTGAAAATGTTCTAAGACTGTTGGCGTTCGAGTTGAAATTTTCGCGGCGTATCGAATCTCGCGGGTCAGAAATTCAATTCATGTCTGTAGTGACCTGATATATTTTTGTAATAAATACAGTAAATATTTATGTTCTGTTTTTGAATTCCCCTCCCGACCAAGTTTTTGCGCGAGTGCGATAAAATTTCAGAGGGCTTATTGGGGTACAGGCCCGTTTTTACCTACAAATTTAATGTCGCATGCACCTGCCTAATATAAAAATTAATTAAAAATAAGGTCCAATCTTTTTCGATAGGTATTATCAAGCACAACATAATCATATCACACACTTGAACTGACAAGCATGCTGAAGTTTTTAGATTTATACACCCCAACCCCTATTGTATACACGCATTTTTTTACATCCTAAGGCCAATTTTGACAGAATGTGGTCATCACAGTGCAAACGCAAGTCCTTTCCCTGGGTGGTTGTAACAAGATAACCGAGTTTGGGATTTTCGGATTGATAACACCATTGATGGGAATGCAATACAATATATTTAATATTATATGAAAATATCAAATGAAGTATGATAGATACGTGCGTGAATGGGACTAATTAATACGGAACTAATTAACATAAATCAGCACGATCTTACTAATGCAACAAATACGGTACCAAGACAAATAAAGAAAGAACGATTCACGGTATATAAAGAACATAATATGACTTCACAATAGTAAAATACAAATTATCTTTTCGTTCAAAATAACGAATTGATAGTTTTACTCATGATAATCAAACAAATGATAGTTCCTTCAAAATAACGGATTGATAATTTTAATCACAATATATACACAATAGCAAACAATGGGTATTACAAAAACCCTACAAAAAGCCCGATTTCCCTCAACCCGACTGGCAACGTTGGAATATTCAAAGAACTCGAAAACATATGCACAGCACAGCTCGGCACTGCACACGCAGCATACGCAGCTTTACAGAGCACACGCAGCTTTTCACAGCTGTACACAGCACAGCTCAGCACTAAACTCTACAGCATAACACAGCACGGCAACAACACAGCACATCAACACCAACACGACACTGCAACACCAACACAGCTATACACAAACACAGACAGAATAGCAAACCACTGCACCAACACAGCACTGCAACACCAACACAGCTCTCTACAGCTAGAGATATGCAGGTCTCACAGTAGACCTCTGATCGACAAAACGGTTCGTAATGTGTTATTTTCGTTCCAGTTTGAATCATATATACACAATGTAGCTCAACATCGTCTGTGTAATTCATGTATTCGGTTTTTCCAGCCTGAAGCACTTCGCACGTGCCAAGCAAGGAAGAACCGAACTCACTATTTTCGAAATGTGGAATATACATTGATCACCCTCGGGTATCACTGTACACTAAAAGCGAAACCCGAGTACGTTTACTTAATGAAGAAAAAATATTTACACAATTCCGTGACAGTGGTACATTGTCTACTAAATAGCTTAATGCAATTCCGAATAGCTGTAACCCAAGCCGTTTGTGAGATATTCTACTTGCCTTAAACATGTGTGTGGGTGGCTAGCACAACTTCCTAGCCGACTAATAGGTATTTCAGTAGCTACATACTGTGTGCAGCGACGGAGGGGTGTGAATATGCCTCGCATTGATTTCAAGACCACACAAGCCCGAAACACCTACTTCACTAATATATCCATCTCTTTAATTATTACACAATAATAGCTCAAAAACTCACACCATAAGTTAACTTTAAAAAATCTGCCAAGGGCCAATATGAAACTGCCACCATGGCAGCTTGGATGCCTGTATGCCTACCCCCTTCCCCAATAAGTACCAAAAATGCCCGGAAGGTTGGCAGGTATTTGACCGTGGTACGCAACACATCATATATCGATGATGTACAAGTGCAAGTACAGTTCTATAAACCATCTTTAACGGCTGGCAAGTTTGAACAAGGAAACAGGTCACAAAATTATAATTGCCCTTGATGTGACATCGAGGCAGAGGCCATGACTGCAATAAATAACACAGTTTAAAGAGGACATGTGTCTAAATAAAGTCTTACGTGGTTCAAAAGTTACAACCCAGACTAAGAAATAACTATATATTTTCCGTTGCTGTGACTTTGACCTTTGATCAAAAGAAATAACTACGGTTGCAAAACACTGTTGAGTTATAATATATTGGAGCCACAGTGGCTGAAATCTTTGCTGGTCAGATTTGCGATTAACTGGTTTGGGTTCGAATAATACTAACAGCCTGATGAGCAGTATGGTTTACTGAGGTATTTCTTTTTGGTGGTAGAAACCACAGTACCTTTCACTAACGGTATTTCGGTTATTTCCGTAAGCAAGTTACATACGGAAATTCCATATTAATCTTGTTACAAATTTAACAATTTTAGCTTGTTTTTTTATTTGTTACAAAATAATTACGAAACCATTATTTTTTCGAGAGTTGTATTTGAATATTACAATAATATACTTCAATTTAATGTTTGACACGAGTCACGCATGTCCTTGTGGTGACCAAATCAGACGCTGTTTGACACGTGTCACGCATGCCTATGTGGTGACCAAATCAGACGCTGTTTGACACGTGTCACGCATGCCTATGTGGTGGCCAAATCAGACGCTGGGAAGGATATTCCTGCCAAATCCAACTATTGGAAAAATTGCGGAATTAACAAAATATCGTATTTTAGCTATTTACTGGCATGTGTTAATATATCAGTTACATCTCCGTAGGACTGCAAAGAGAGGTATAAAGATCACGAAGTAGTGCTTCACTAGCAAAGCACAAATATCCTTAAATAAAGGAAAAGGGAAGCAGATACATGAAAATGGTGCACAAAGTGGGCAGACAAAATGTATATACGTGTGTTGGATTTTTAACATAGCTTTAATAATTTTTCACTCATATCGCTAAAATGTCTGCAGTGTGGCAGTTTATAGTGATGTCTAGCACTGAGGCATCATGCCGCAGAGATGTAGCATGTTGTCTCACTCAGTCACATTATACTGACAACAGGCCGGTTAGTCCTAACACTAACCACATAATGCTGAGCGTCAAGCGAGGCAGTTGTTAGTACCATTTTTGTAAGTATTTGGTATTTCTCGACCGGGGATCGAATCCACGACCTTCTGCATCCGAGGCGGACGCTCCAACCACTAGGCCACCGAGCGGTTACAGTTTATTTTGTTGTCTAGCACTGTTATCATGTCACCCAGTCACGTTATACTGACATCAGTCTGACCAATCCTAGCACTAATCAAGTAATGATGAGCATCATAAAAAGGCAGCTGCTATTATCAGTTTTTTAAAGTCTTGGTATGACTCGGCTTGGTTCGAACCCGCAACCTAGCGGATGCGAGGCGGACACTAACCTCTTGGCCACCAGTGTGTGTGTACGATTTATATTTTTAACGTTTTTCAGTCATATCGCTACGATGTCTGCAGTGTGACAGGTTTATAGTGATGTCCAGTACTGTGGCATCATGCCGCAGAGATGTAGCATGATGTCCCACCCAGTCACATTATCTTGACACCAGGCCGACCAGTCCTACAACTAACCTCTTATTGCTGAGCGCCAAGCGAGGAAGCTATTAGTACCATTTTTTAAAGTATTTGGTATGAATCAACCGGGGTTTGAAACCACGACCTCCTGCATTTGAGGCGGACGCTCTAACCACTAGGCCACCTGAGAAAACATGAAATACATTAAAAATGGATATGATTGACAATATAAGACAATATAATGCCAAATTCATGGTAAAAATGTCGAGTGTCCAAGAGACAAGATAGCTGCAGGAAGTTCATGTCAAAGAACAATATTAAATAAGACTGAACCTAAGGTATTCAAGGTGGGTAAAGTATTTGTTCTATACCTCCTATTGTTCAATGGAGGAGGGAATTAATTCCTAGGACTGGAGATTAGTGCCAGAAAAAGACAAAAATGCAATAGTATTATATCATGTATTAGCATAGTCTATGATTATAAATACGTTGACGCAGTCACACTTAACTATCAAGCAACGGATTGTGCGTGGTTAAAGATAAAGTAAAGGCGGAAGCGATAGGACAATCAGAAGAGTAAGGACAGGAAAGGCAGAAACAAACAAAAGTGTCAGTGTACGTTTTTGTCTCTTCATATTCAGACCAATCTGGCTACCGTAGCGGCAATGAGATAAGGAACCTCAACCGGCATAGCCCTGAGAATCACTAGGTCTTACTTGTAGCTGACTAGTTCATTAGTGTGATTTTAGAAAGCTGCTTGCGAGATACCAGGTCAGGAGCTTCTGCAATTATTGCTGGCAATTTGTTCCAAGCCCCTATTGTACATCGGAAGAAGCAAAACTTTGTCGATGCTGACTTTAATTGGAACTTTTTCCCGTGGTTTGCCTTAGTCTGGCTATATGCCATGGTCAGGTATTTGTCCGCTGGTATATCCACTAGGTTGTTAGTAATCTTGTACATGGTCAGCTGGGCCCATGTTCGATTCCCTCTGGAGATGGTTCAACATTGCACCGACACTGCTAGTATTACGATATGTATTTGTGTTGAATCTAGCAGCTCTCCTCTGAACCATCTCTATCTTATTTCTTAGCTCTTTGTTATGTGGGTTCCACTCAGTCGAGCAATGCTCGAGACCTGGTCGAACCAAAGTGAAATATGCGGGGCAGGAAACCAAGGTTACTGTTCCCTTTTTTGTACTGCTACTAAAACTAGGTCTTTCCTTGCCATGACCTACTATGTAGACAGCATGGACTTATATTATGATACACAGCCTTAGCATGGGTGATTAGAAAAAGTTTTAAAGGTATATAAAACATAATGGTAAAAAAAAAACGTAACATCCTTTAAATATAGGGTCAAATTCAGTACCAGAGGTAACATGCTTTCAATAGGTCTCTAGTCTCATCGAAAAGCTTAATGGAATTTACATCAAAAACTCGGTGAAAGATGATACACTTGACGATGTGTTCTACTGTTAGTACATATTACAAAGGAATGCATTCTGGTTAAGGATCCCTCTTTTGGAGGTACAAATGGATGACAGAAAATGGATGAATGGATTGATATACAGGTGATGCTTGATTTATGTGCTTTCAATTTAATGTCATTTAAAACATTCAATTTGAGCCACTGTGCTCGTTTTTATACCTCTGCTGGTGCCATGGGCTGTGACAAGTATGCAGACTAATTATGTGCATTTTAATTTCTTTTGATATGTGCACACACACAGAGAAAAGACCATGATGGGATGGACTCAAAATAATACAAACCCCAAATAAATATTTACTATTTTAATGATAAATCAAATAAGAGTTCAACAAGGCTCTCTTAAAAAACAAAATCCATTCTAAATGATCAATATACATGGGCAGTGATATTAACAATGAGGACTGATCACAGCTTGCACTTTTTGCCATGAAATGAAGTCCTTGCATTCAGCCAGCTGATTACGTAATTACAGTTTATCTTGCATTCTAGAATTACTTCCCTTTTCACACCTAAACTAAATACATGCACAAGAAAACTCCAGCTGGTGCCATTAAAGTGTATCAAAATCCACCTTTTCACATCTGTTTTCCTTTTATAACATAATTACATTAAAACTGCAAACATACAGGTAAATGTATACCAGTCTAAACTGAAAAAAAAAAAAACCTATTCAAAAAGAGTCTGATGATGTTAAGATACATTCGAGCTGACTGATGATTGTCTATTTGCTACATGATATAATTTCATAAGTATTCATTTTGAAATATGGCACTGGGCAAAATATTGGTTGAAATGCAAATCTCACAACATTTATTTATGTTTGCAATGAAATGGTTTAGCACTTGTAGAAAATGGCTTCCTTTAAAAAGTTTCAAGGCACAAATGTCACCTGTACTTGTACCAGCAGCAATCTTTGATTTAGAGTTTGTGTCTGTCTGCACCACAAACAACAGCATCTTGTAAAGTTTAATATTCCATTTATGGAACATTTCTTCTATAAAGTAAAACCATGCTTATTGCAGGTGAGACAAAAAGGCAATCTGCAAATTTTTCCAGGATTTGTTATGACTACTGTAAATTAAACATTCTTGTATAATACAAAACCAAATTGGAAACAGTGTATGCTCTTATCTGCTTTTGTGTAATGCAATATATCCAGAAAAATGAAACACCATGATCTAATAACATGTTATAGTGACCCCTTACTGTGATGAACTTCAGTACAGTGTGGTATACCAATTTAATGTGGTACCTCAGTATAATGTGGCACTTTAGTAAAAGGTGGGTACCACCATGGATCCCATTTCAGCATTTAATATCCCATGATGCCTCATTATATTGTCCCTTCTATATAGTGGTTATGAAAAGCGACTTCATTACATTATATAATTGTAATAAAGTTTACAAGTTGAGTTCACATATAACAGATTAAACTTACCGGAAGAGGGGGGGGAGAGGAATGTGGTCTAAAGAGCTCACCTTAACTGATCACTGCCATCTCATCTACATATGCAGGGCTTGAGGTCTCAAGCTTGAACATTGTGTGAGAAAGCTTGCCATTAACTTGAGTTGGTATCTGGATTCTTCCTCCACCAGTTATAATGTCCGACATGTATAACCAATCATGCATTGAAATGGCATTAAAGCCAAAACAACAGCATCAACACATTTAGGGCTACCTTGAACATTTTTATTGTGAGGGATTATTGTTCACAGTTGAATGTGTTTCACAATCATGGCATGGTCTATAGAACTTTGGTCCAATTGTAAGCTGAACAGAACCAGATCTGCCATCACATAATAAAGCAGCAAGCTATGGGTCTATGCAGTTTGTTAAGAGTGATCAGCAGAACAAATCTCATAGACCCCGATCTGCAGGTACATAATGCTATGGCAGATCAGGATCTATGTTGTTTGCAGTTGGACTTTAAGTTGGACCTATGGTAGTTTAAGTACATGCGTGTCATACTGAGTGTTTCTTGACCATGAAAATATAAAAATGTTATTTGCAATAGATACAATATGACTGAATACTTTATCTACATATGATAAACAATGGGTGGATACAGATAATATTCTTATATGCAAAACATGATATAAAATGTACATCGCTTGATGATAAATTTCAGCAATAATTTTATGTATGTATACAATACATAAAAGTCGTAGCTATTTACAATGCTGCTAAATATTTAAGACTGACTGTAAAACTTATTTCAGTTACAGCTTACATTTATGTATGATTATATATTTTTATGAAATAGATCATTTATTACAAAAAAGGAGAATATTAATAAAAAGGCATATTATTTGCATGAAGAAAAACTGTCCTTTTCACATCCCAACCAATGTGTAATAATTCCTATTGCTGGCATCATACACATGAAACCTGTAATCATTTATGATAAATTACACACGTCTGTGAAATAAGTTAAATAATTCATATGCTTCAGTGAAAAAAGTTAAATAATATATGTTGTCGTGTATTCTGCACAACAAAATACAATAAATGAAGACCCTAATTTATTGGCACAAGATATACCAGTAAATTTGGGTCTATGCTGTTTTTTTCATTTATGACTTTAAGTAAACAGACTAGACTAATTTGCAGATGTATTATGCTACAGAAATTCATGGTATTTCGAGTACATAGTCAGATGAGTTACATATCTGGAAAGACAATACCAGATATATTCGCTTGTAAGATGAATAAAAAATGTATACAACAAAGAACCTGATCTGCAGAGGAATAATATGCCTGGAGATCAGGGTCTATGATGCTTATTCTAAAGGTTCTCTTAAACTGCATTGAACCGGGTCAAAGATCTGGGTCTTTGAAACTTGCAGTAGGACCAGTCTTATAAGCGAGTATATACAGTCTTTAAGCTTACTGTCACAGGCATTTGTATTAGTTTCATTTTGCATTAGTTTTAAATCTCAATCAATTTAAACAAAGTGTTGAAGAGTTTGAAAAAACACTGGTGATTGCTAAGAACAAGAAAAATACCTAGGATAACAAGCTACTAGTTTAGGGTCTTTGGTATATTGTATTTGCACAGAACATTGCTTACAGCAAAATAAGAGGCAAACACCTACTTCTCATCCAATGTATTTTAAAATGTCAGTCTCTAATATGAAGCAAATTTTTGCCAGTAAATTTAACATGAAGGTTCCATGGGGCACAGTTGCATCTTTCGGTTGTTTGCTATCAGTTAGTTCCCATTTTCAGGCCAAATTCAAGTGTGCATGCATGTGTTTATATATATATTTTTCATGAATATATACTTTTATTAAGGGTGCTAAAAAGTTAAGACCTAGGAGCAAGTGATCATTGAGAGACCCAGGGGCAAGAGCCAGCTGCATAAATTACCTGGCTTTTTCATGCTAGTAAAATGTATATAGAACTATAGGGTACGACTCTAAATGGTTTCCAAGTTATGTTCCTGAGCATGGTTTATTTTGTGGTAAAGTGGGTGGAGGAAATAGACATGGGAACCTATGATAACTTGCTAATTGCAGAAATGAATTCTCCATATAATGTCAGTTGTTATGTATCCTTTATATGTGGGACTATGGACAGTTTCTAAAGTTATAACCCTGGTGTCAGTCCCCACATGGCCAAATGCTGGTAGCATAAATTACTTATTCATACTGAAAAAGCATGTATCTGACTGTAGAGTTAGGAGTGGTAACCTTA